TAGATCAATTCAAATATTTATACATGCTATCTTTAGCTTTATCTAATAAATCATAGTTAAAAAAATGTTAATTTATTCATTGCATCTTTGATCACAGGAAGAAACGAAAAGATCCATATCTTTTTATTAGCTTCAGATATCCAACCAGTTCAAAGCTCAGATGTAATAGCAGTAGACAATAATGTGGAATCCATGCAATTTTACACCGGACGAGCACACAATCTGTAAAGAATCTCTTTGCGGACCATTCCCCGGTCGAGACTTTGTACAGAATAGCCTTGCATCGGCCCGTTATCTTTGGATTTGTGAATGAACAAGACGTAAAGCTCGCTTAAAAGAATATCGTAGGAGCTTCGAATAAATTCTCAAGTATCATATAAATCTTGTAGTAGGTAGGTTGTGTGTTATACTTGAAATAGGTTACTTAACTGTCTGCGTAAGTAGCCAAAAGTTTTTATTATATCTTTATTAAATTTTATCTGGTAATATTTTGGTGTATTTGGTGTATTATTTGTGTATTTTTTGTGTTTTATTTGTGTATTTAAAATGGAGAAATTATTAAGATATTACCACCGTATTCATTACGATTATTAATCCTAATTTTATTACATACTATATTTTGTATTCAATTATATCTATATATAGCAAAATTATATTGTAAGACTTTTAAGTAATATCTTAAATGGAAAATTTCCTTCGATGTGATGTTTAAAATTCTACAAGTATGTAATCTTACATCAAATCACTGTAGTATTTACCATCGACAACACAACATTTTATTTTCCTCATTTAATATTAAAGCAAATTATTCCGACGTCTCGTTCGTTTCCTTACTGAAACTGGGATGGCTCAAGTTAATATGTATGAACGCTCGTAGTAAAGGAACCGTGCAGGTCCTTGTTCACCGAAATGTCGTCTTCCTTTATAATTCAAACACCCGCGCCGAATAAACAGACGTTGTCTAAAAGATTCAGGGACGCTACGTATTTTGTTTTATTACTTCGCTTCGTAATTCATTAATACTCTGCAGTTTATTTAAAATGTTTACTTATATTATAAACAAATATTAATAAATGACTGTGCCATTTTTAGCTAAAATAGATAATATCTTTCATTTCATATTTTTCATAAAGTGATCACAACTGACGAATAAAGAATAAGTTAAAAATAACATATGTAGGCTTCTTTTTATTGTAGAAAAAAAATTAAGAGTTTTACCTCACCTTTTATTCCAGAAAAAGTAAAAGCGAAGTAGGAAATAGAAATTTTTATGATTTTTTTCAAGTAGAGTTTGGGAAAATATTTTAAAAGGGTTTTTTAAGTTAGATTTATATTCATTCAAATAAAGCAATGTTAGAACTAATGTAAGAACAACTATGAAAATCATTGTTTTTTTTACTTTATATGGTACCAATAATCTATTTATTGCCAATAATAATAATTAGTAAAAATATCGCATAACATACCTGCAAACAAAATTATTGAAGAAAACCTAATTTAGTTCACCCTATAAGTCAAAATGTGTACAAGGTTATTCGCGGCCAATCTGCGGTATACCTTAAAACTTTTATAAAAGTTCTAAGGACCTTTTCGAAGGACAGCACATCGTTTGTGAATAAATTCTGCCAATTCCGGCACACCTTTTACGACCAGAATGGAGTATGAAGTACGTGAGTAGAGCTTTGTTTTATTACGTAGAAAATAAAACTTCTAATGAACTTTCTTTATTAGAGTTAATAAAACGTTACGCCTTTTATTACTGTTTAATGTTTTAAATTATACTGATTTTGATGCATTTGTGCATTTAAAATTCTTCGGTAGGTAGTTATTTAGTTAATTAATTTTAAAATTGTTAAATCCATTCAATTAAGTAAATTATTTTGATAATACATACTAATATTATAAATGTGAAAGTGTGTTTGTTTGTCCTTCTTTCACGTCAAAACGGAGTGACGGATTGGCGTGATGTTTTGTGTGTGTTGGAGGGCTGGAGAGTGACATAGGCTACTTTTTACCGCGAGAGATTATCTAATTTCCACGGGAAAACACGTTATATTTACAATCCAAAAAAAAAATTTACATGTTCAGAATTACTTAAAAGTTGATATTAATGCTCTTCAATAAAATTAAATAAATACGTGTATTTTTCGAAATTCATCCTATAAGGGGATAAAATAGAGGATGAAAGTTTATATAAAACTACCTTTTTAGAGATTTTCTTGTAGTTTTAGCGGGAGCGAAGCCGCGGGTTCTCCTAGTAATATATACCTATCTTTCGCTGTATGTGTACTTTTTTTCTAGTATTTGGAAAGTTCTTTTATAAAGCACCTTCTATTGCGGGTAGCGGAAGATAGATCGGTCTATAAATCTCCCCCTTGTCTAATTGACGGCCAGGAACTGCCGGCCTCCTACCTATACTGATTCACTAACTCAGGAAAAGTCACTAAGTAACTTTGCTTTCAATAGAATGTTTTATTGTACGAATATTTATGAGTAAGATCTAGGAGCACTAACATTGTATGTAGAATGTCATTATTATCAGTCTAAATTTCAAATCAGAATTATTAGGTTAGATTCCCGACCTACGCAGCATTCATAAAATTAACGTCTTTGTTTATACATTTTTTTAGAAAATTCATAAGATATTCAAAATAGTATTTACTAACTATTTTGCAAATATTATATAATATGAATTTAAAATAATTTTCTGCGTATTATGATTTATGTAACTTATTTTCAAATAGCTGATTTTATGAATTAAATTATAAACGTAAATGTTACAAAGTTTTAATTCATCAATATTATATGCTTTTGAATAATATATAATTTAAGTCTGCTATGTGTGATACACAATGAAACAAGGATCATGTTTGATTGTTACAAAAATATTTATGATGATGTTCTCCTGACCGATTCCGGCCACAGCGGCCAATCTATATCCCACGGAAAAACACGTTATAATACAATCCAAAATATTTATGACCAGAATAACTTGAAACTTGGTTGGAATGGAATGCGCTTCAATAAAATTAAATAAATACATGTTTTAACATTTTTCAAAATTCATTCTATAAGGGGGTTGAATAGGGGATAAAAGTCTGTACTATGTTATTTAGATATTTTTTGTAGTTTAAGTGCGAGCGAAGCCGCGGGTTCTGCTAGTGTTTAATATATCAAAACTCTCAAAGGAATTTTATAATAAAGTTTATAAAGGATCTTTTGGAAAACAATTTTCAAGAAGGGTAGCGAAAGATAAATAGCCGTATAAATCTTCCCTCATGTCTAATTGACGCCTAGCTACTACCGGCCTCCTACCTACGGGTTACATTGATTCACTAACTTAGAAAATATTAAGCTAAGAAGTTGTATGTATGTTATCATGGTTAAAATTTAAAAAGCAACAGTATTTAAGGAATTTTTATTCTTCCGACTAAAATAAGACAAACAATCGTTTCCGGTTTCATTATACTACTGTTGGCGAAACGCGGAGACATTCACATTTTTTTTATGGGACTCCTTAGTCCCAGGGCAAACGGGTAGGAGGCTCACCTGATGGAAAGTGATCACCGCCGCCCATGGACATCTGCAACACCGCAGGGCTTGCAGATGCGTTGCCGGCCTTTAAGGAAGGAATACGCTCTCTTCTTGAAGGTGGCCAGGTCGTAGCGGTTCGGAAAGACCGCCGGCGATAGCTGGTTCCACAGAGTGGTTGTGCGGGGCAGAAAATGTCTTAATAATCGCACTGTTGTGGAACGCTGGACATCGAGGTGGTGTGGATGGAATTTACTATTTTGGCGCGATATCCGATGATGAAATTCAGCAGCCGGGATCAGTCCGAACAATTCCTCGGAACACTCATTTATTGAAATGTTCGGTATTGGGCAAGTGGAAGAAGCGGTCATCATCAATCATTTGATTCCATTCAATACTACATGCCCAAACTACATCCTGAACGTCTCTCCTTAACTTTTACAATATACTTATACCATTTAATATAATTGGATAAGAAGTAATATATACCATTCTCCGCCACATAAATGAGGACAGAGGGATGTACCAGCAAACACTTTTGTGTTGAACTTTTTTTTATTCAAGACCGGCTTTCCCTCTTTACGCTCGGGTGCGTAGTGTTCCACCTAGTGAGGTGCCTAACAGTAGGCTATGTGTTACTCCAGGTCTATCTATGTACTAAATTTAATTCAAATCCGTTTCAGCGTGAACTGTGAATCAACAAATACCGTGTGTGTTTGTTACACACATACAAACTCTCATATTTAAAATAAAGATGAAGAAACATTTTCTATTATATTCGTAGATTTATAATGAAAAATTCAAAATATCACCTTCTATACAGTTCTCATACTTATAAAAGCAAAGTCGCTCTAATATATAAGGAGTTATAATTGAGGAATATGGCGGCGAGTCACAGGAACAGTAGCTCCTTTTTAAAAAATACCAAAAAAATAGCTTAAGTGAATATTATTAGATATAAACAAGTGTAACAGTGAAATTGGACTCTAAGAGCTAAGTGGAATTGTTATCTAGTGAATTTGTAAACTGTACACAAAATAAAATGTGATAAACAATTTACTGCAGTGTGTCATAAAAGCTAATATTATCTGATCTGTGTAAAAGCTACAAATATTAAAATTAGTGCTCTAAAGATATAGTACTCTAAAGGCAATCCTTAAAAGTTAAAACGAACATGAATCCTACCAAATTAAGGCATATAATAAGCAAGAAAAAGGTTTAATATAAATATTTCATATAAACATCAAGAAAGAAAAAAGCAACCACCCGCAATTTAAATTATCAAAAATCTGTAAACAGTGGAAACACCAATTTCAACTCTAACTACTAACTGTGCTTTGGTCTAATAGCATTGTGAGTGGATTAGCAAGCGACGTCCGAGCGAACGTGAGTTCAAATCTCAGAGATTCGAATATTATTTTCTTACATTATTTGCAATTATTTTCGATTTGAATTCTAACAACGACAAAATGAATTTCTTTGAAAATATAACATTTAGAAAAGCACGAAGTCAATCCTTGACAGAACTGTCTTCCGCAAATAGTAGTACAATAAGCTTGAAACTAGATGGCAGCACCAATAGTATACCGAATATTTCTACGGATAACAATATTATTGTAATTGAAGACCTCAAGCAAAAAATTGAACTTCTCAGCACGCAACTTAATTTAGCACATGAACGTATTAATTATTTATCTAACGAAAATAAAGAGATTAAGGAAACTTTGAACGTAATGTTAAATTATTACGAAGGCCATAAGAAAAAAACAGAAAAAATATACACGGAGGAGAATCCGTCTAATAGACATAAGAATATTATAACAACACACGAAAACTCTGAATACAATTCTAAAAACGAACCTCATAGCATAGAGAATACACAAAATGTAATCATACCAAGTACCATATATCATGATAAGTTATCAAAATGTAGAATTAGAGAAAATAATAATAAAGAAAAGATTCAGAATAAATTGTGTATCATTAGTGCAAATAAAACGAGTAAGATCTTATCAATAGCAGAAGAAAGATTCAAGAATACTCAGATATGTCACTGGCTATACCCTAACTGTGGAATACGTCACCTAATAAAAAATATACACAAGAAGCTACACGAATACACTATGGACGATCACTGTGTTATACTAATAGGAGAAGAAGATTTCCGGAAAACAGAAAATTATTTTGAAATTATTACAGAAATAAGAAATACTTTAAAACTTATTCAAAATACTAATATTATTATTTGTTTACCAACTTACAAATATAGCAATCTCAGCCCAGTGTTCAATTGGAGAATAGAGACTTTTAATAATCTTTTATATCTAGATATTACTACTTACAACTATGCTTACCTACTTGACTGTAATTTAAATTTAAAATGTGACTATTCTATGTTTTCTAAATACACCGGTAGAGTAAATAATGGCGGTATGAAAAACATCTTTGATAATATTTTCTTATTAGTAAATAATAATTGTAAATCGAGTGCTGCTAAATCTCGTAGTATTACTTATTGCGACAAAAGTACACATACAGAAGAGATGTCTAATATGAACAATTTAAATATAACTAAGACTCCAGACCACCTTTTTCGTGTATAGGGAAATTCATATTTTACATCAGAATATTAATGGACTTATTAGTAAAACTGACTTTATTATAGAAATGTTAGACTCTCTTGATAAGTGTAGTTTGTCAATTGATATCTTATGTATTACAGAGCATAATATGGTAAAACATGACTTAAATATTCTTAATATTAATAATTTTATAATGGGAGCTTACTATACAAGAAATAATAGGAATGGAGGCTCTTGTATACTTGTACGTAAGCATCATAAGTTTAAAACTATACCTGTTACTCAATTTTGTTGTACTAACATATTAGAAGGTTGTGCTATAGAACTCTTAGAACATAAAACTATAGTAATATGTATTTACAGACCCCCTAGAATATCAAAAGACAATTTTAATATATTTCTCATTGCCGTGAATTCTTTACTACAAGACATTTGTTACAGTACAAAGAAAGTTGTCCTTTGTGGTGATTTTAATATTAATATGCTTAATGATACTAAGGAGAAAAGAGCTTTCTTAGATATTCTGGTGTCATTAAATTTAAAACTTGCTATTAATGAGCCTACAAGACTAACTAGTGGGTCTTGTATTGATAATATCATACATAATATCAAAGGATGTAAGAGCAAAGTATTTGATTATGCACTATCTGACCATACTGCACAATTGTTAATATGTCCAGTAAAGGTTAGCTACTACCTAAATTATTGGTATGAGGACGTCCAAGACTATTGTAATGAGAATTTGGAAAAGTTCAAAGATTGTCTTAGTTCTCTTAGCTTTAGCGAGGTATATAGCTCTAATTGTCCTAATCAAGCTTTTGGTCATTTTTACGACATATTTGGGCTTTTCTATTCTCTTTGCTTTCCAATAATAAGGATCAAAAATTATCTGCACAATCGACCTAAATGGATCTCAAAAGGTATAAAAAGATGTACTAAAAATAAACGAATTTTACTATGGCAATATAGAAACAAACGAACTGAATATAATAAAATTAAATTTAAAACTTACTCTAACCGCTTGAATAAAATAATAAAATTAACCAAAAAGTCTCAAAATATGTACTACATTGCCTCTGCTAAAAATAAATCGAAAGCCACATGGAACGTGATAAATAGTAACTTTTTAACAAATAAAACTAAACAAGAGATAGATCACATAAAAGTTGGGGATAAGATTATTAACGATCCTATGGAAATGGCAAATCATTTTAATGACTTCTTTATTAGCCAGACTGCCAATATCATCTATAGTTCTAATAAATTAGATACAAAATCTATTAATAATTCCAGTTCTAAATCTTTATTTCTAAATCCTGTAACTCCTTTTGATATAGATAAAACAATTAATTTACTTAAAAACACGCATAGTACGGGGTATGACGAAATATCTACAAAAGTCTTGAAACATGTATCTTCTATTGTCTCTCCCGTTTTGTGCTACGTTATTAATCTTTGCATATCTGAGGGTGTCTTCCCAGATCAGTTAAAAACAGTTATAGTAAAACCATTCTTTAAAAAACTTAATAGAGAATCCATGTGCAATTACAGACCTATAGCTCTTGTCCCTATTTTAAGTAAAGTTTTTGAGAAAATTATTTATAATTCATTGAATGATTTCTTCGAAAAGAATAAATTATTTACAAATGATCAATTTGGTTTTCGCAAGAACAAGAGTATAAATATGGCTGTCTACAGCTTTCTTAATTATATCATGCCTAATTTAAATAATAAACTTCCTGTCTGTGCCTTATTTATGGATTTAACTAAGGCTTTCGATTTTGTTGACCATAATATCTTGCTCAACAAACTTTTTGCCTATGGTGTTAGAGGCAACGTCTTGGATCTGATAAAGTCTTACCTTTCTAATAGAAAACAAATAACACAAATTTCAAAAGTATGTACCAGATATAAAAAAAAAATTGTTTATTCTTCTAACTCGAAAAAAATTCTCCAAGGTGTTCCCCAAGGCAGCATCTTGGGTCCTCTATTGTTTATTATTTATATAAACGACTTACCGAAACATGTTGCTGATCATAAAATGGTCTTATTTGCTGATGATAGTACTGTAATTTTTGCTAACAATAACACAATCGACCTAAAGAATGATATTAATAAAACCCTTGGAATTATTATGGATTGGTTACAATGTAATAAGCTCATGATTAATCTGGATAAAACTAATTTAATGTTTTTTAGACATAGGAAAAATATGCTGAATGCTTTGGATATAAATTTTGATGGTAAACAAATCAAACAAGTTGATGTAACAAAATTTTTAGGGCTCAATATTAATAGTAATTTGAATTGGAAAAAGCATATTGAGGAAATAAGCATAAAATTAGGACAATTTTCTTATGCGCTCCATATGTTGGCCAAAACAGTAAATGTTTCGACTTTATTAACTGTATATCATGCTTATGCCGCTTCATTGTTAAGATACTGCATTATTTTTTGGGGTAATTCGGCAGATAGTGATGTAGCTTTTAAAGCACAAAAAAATGTATCCGAGCAATATTTAAATTAAAAATGATAGAAAGTTGTAAACCATATTTTAAAAATTATAACATTATGACATTCCCAAGTATGTACATCTATGAGACTATTAATTATATTAAGAATAATTTATATTTATTTGAAAATTGTAGTAGTGTAAGACATAGGGCTATGCTTCGCCACCCGCGTTGTAAGACCAATATTTTCTCGAAGAGTGTGTTTTGTACTGGACCACTTTTATATAATCATTTGCCTAAAGATATTTTAGAAATTAATAAAATTAATGTATTTAAACATAAATTGAAGAAATTTCTATTAGAAAAGACGTATTATTCAGTTAAAGACTATATGTCGGATAAGTTGTAATATATAATTTTAAACAGGTATATAGGTATTGTAATTAACTAGCTAAAAAGAATGATATAATATACATTACACAGGAAGTCAAACATAATACTGAATAATATGTTATTATGTAATATATGTTAACGTTTGTAATTTTAGGTATATTTTAATTATTGAAATATTGCATGCTGTAAGGCTGAATTTGGCTGAACATTAAATATGTTATGTATAATATTATCAAAATCTAAATGTATGTACTAACCCAAGTTCGCAATAAAGTGTTTGATTTGATTTGATTTGATTTATAATATGAAGGAGAACGACACACAATTTATAAAGCAATCCCATTATAAATACAAACTAAAATAAATAACGAACTAGATTATTTGTGATTACAAATCTCATCTGTAATACCGATGTTTCTGAGACCATACATTACTCGGTTTTAATGATGGCGGTCGCCATTTAATCATCGCAAAGGGGCCATAAATCCTAATTACAAGGCTTATTATTTCGAACTCGCCTCGAGATCTGAGGCTGAGAGCTGAGAAGTGAGCTTAGGCAGGACAATAGTACAAGTAACATATTGACTCAACGCCCGAGGACTCGACTGGGCTGGTTATTAGAACGCTGTAAAAATAGATATTTATCTGTCTCATTGGAAATGGAATTGTTTTTTCTATGTCATCACTAATGATAGCCGACCGACGCAGATGCTTGGTACCAAATATAGCGGGTTGGATTTCCGCGCAGTATATTTTTACAGCACAAGCTCTGAAGAAAGTTTCTTTTTAATTTTATTTATATAAATGTACTATATGGAAAAATTAAAGACTTTAGGAATATATTTATTAAGTTACTATTTTGTTATTTTTAAGTCATTGTGTGTGTAATGTGTATGTCATGTCGCCGAGGCAAAGGCCTTTCTTAATATTATTTTTAAAATCACATTTGGTCATAATTTTTGGTTTTCCTATATGTTTCTCTCGCTTATAATAATATATTAAAAGTTTTACAGAGTAGCATTGAATACGCTTCTCCTGATTGGAAAAGCTACTTGGCTTAGATACTTCTCTACTTTGCTACATAAAAATGTGTGTAATGCTTATTGAACAGAAAATATGAAAGAATATTTGTTGAATTAAAATAATAGCATTTATTCTTCAGCAGTTAACTACAGTGATCCCTATCTGGGTAGTTGTATGAGAAAATATAATAAAAACTCATATCATATTATACTTATACCGCGAATATTAAAATAAAACGCCGTCATCACTACACCACTACGAAATATAAACACTGAAATGATTTTTTGTCATCATATAATCAACTTAAGTCATCATTAAGTAGTAAATAGTGTTAAAAGAACTAGTAACTGGGTCATTCTACTTTTGGAGAGAAAAAAAAATTAAAAAAAAAATCTTGAATTTTACGGTTTTTTCATTTTTATTTTATTTAATATTACAAATAATCACAATAAAAATTAAAAGTAGAGGTCGTGTTCTATTAATTATTGAAAAAAACGATTGATATTGAAAAATGGTGATAACAGAATTGAAGCAGCACATCACAGTTATGACGATTTTCTAATCAAATACCACTTAAAGATATTGAAGAAGATTCACTACAGGGTATATTAGAAAAACAGCCCCCACGTTAACCAAAAACGAAATAATCATCGACAAAATTAATAACAATAGGTAAAAAAATATATCAAAGATGTGATCACATAAATGACGTCCTGTCTGTTATCATCTAGCAACATTTAGATACGATATAAAAGCTCAAAATTCTATAATTACAAAATAGTTTAAAACATAACAAAGGACTTGTTATGCATTAATTTATATATTTTTCTTAAATATTACAAAATTTAAATTAATTGAGATCAATTTTAACGCAATAAATAATTTAAGCTTTCAACGCAATAAGCAATTCGTTCTTAAAGTTTCGGTCAGGAGGTCGCAAAACGGGCCTGCAACCTAGTCGAAAATTCAGGCTAATCAAACGCAAAAATACCTCTCATTAAAGAGTTCTTTTTTGTTATGTAGCAAGTAAAGCAAAAATTTAAAAAAGAAGATTAACCAGGAAGTTAAAAAATGTTTTCTTCTGAAGAGCTCGATGATCGTAATATGAGACGCTTTCTTGGCTTTCGTACTTCCGTTTCAAATTCAGAA